CTGTTTGGTTTGAGGGGAGGGAAGGGGAGGGGGGGAGGGAGGGGTAGGGGAGGGGAGGGGAGTTTTATCCTCACCTTGTTTGGTTTGATTAAAAGGAGGGAGGGAGGATATTTAATGATCCCTTGTTTGGTTCAAGGAGGGGAGGGGAGGGATAGTAATAATCAATTACCATTTTACCCTTACATATTAGTTTATGTTTTTTATTGATATATTTATAAATTAATTTACATCTTAATTTAATTATATAATTTAATAAAAATTCAGTCTTATCATGTTAATATGTGTATTAAAAAATTGGTATAGTAATTTTTTATTCTAATTAATATAATAATATATTTAAAATAATCAAATTAACAATTTTATATGCTCTAAGAAAAATGAAATTTTTTTCTTTAGGCTATCTTTTTTTCCAGCTTTAAAATATATTTAATAAATAATATATTATAAAAAACAATTAATTTTATATATTATATTTTTATTTAAATAATTTTTTATTTTTAAATAATTTTTATAATATATTTTTAATATAATAATGTATATATTTTTTATTTTTTACTTAGGATAATATATTTTTTATTTGAAATAAATATTATAATAATATATTTATGGGTAGGAGTGGAATATTAAAAAACCATAAGGGCATAATGGTCCAAAATTTGGCTCCCCTCCAAAACCCCCAATTTGGAGGGGAGCCAAAATGGGGGAGGGGAGGGGAGGGGAGGGGACATTTTAGCTCCCCTCCCCTCCAAAATTTTTAACCAAATGAGGGAGGGGCTCATTTTCCCTCCCCTCCCCTCCCCTCCCCTCCAACCAAACACACCCTTAAGATCAGGGTGGGAGCTGCGGACGAGTCATGCCTTTAGGGAGGGTAATGCAGTAGCTGATTGGTTAGCCAAATGGAGCTTCCTTCGATCCAATGAAATACAGATGTTATGGGAACCACCTGTTGGGGTCCGATGCTGTTTGGATAGAGATGTCTTGGGTTGCACTAAACCCAGAATCCTTTTGCGTTAGTTTTATTTTGGGCTGTTAGCCCCCTCTTGTAAAAAAAAAAAATAAAACTAAAAAATGAAAAAAAAAAAAAAAAAAACTTGCGATTGAGCAGCCTGAAATAACCTGCAATCATGACACTACGGCATCTCTGTGTTGAAGATGCAATAGCTAATCCTTGCCCTGACAATACTACCTCTAGTTTCTTCTCTAACCATCTTATCCCTCCAAATAATATTCTTCTGCGCAACCTAATTTTTAATGAAGTTAATATAAATTCGAATTGAATACAATATGAATTTGGTTTAATACAATTTAATAAACATGAATGTAAACTATAAAATTTCTATTAAATTTTTATTTTTATAAAAATTCAAATAAATGCTTTTATGACATAAATTAATTCATAAAATGAATTTTCGTTAATTGAGTTAATTAATCTGGTTATTTGAGTAATTAACTTCGACTTATTCCTAATTCCCCGCTTAAAATTAAAATTAATTATAACCCGACAAAACACAATATAGTAGCTAGTAGTGGCGGAAGGACTTTTCTATGCCTGCGAACAAGCATTCTACACTCCGTTGGACGCCGTCTAACGTTGTCCGCTTCGAACCCTAGGGGTTTGTCTACTCCCAAAATCCTGTGGGATTGGCTTTGAGTCTGGTTGAATTTGTTCCCGCGTCATCTGTTATCTGCGTAGTTGTTCCCCGCTGAGTGTAATATGGTAGGAATTCGTTATTTTCATTCGCATTTGTTCATTTTAAACTGTCCCTGATACTGGGCGGGCAATGGGTTTGATGCCTAAGCAACCTGTGTTTTGCCTAAAATTGCCATGGGATGTCAATCAAAGTAACAAAACTTCTGACGCTTGCAACTTTGATGGTCCTTGGCTATTCAAGTCAATCCAAAATCTTGGATCAATTGCTTTCAAGTTTGCCAATTCACTTGCAAAATCTCCAAGTTCTCCGATGATTTCTCTCAATCCCTTGCAATTGGATGAGAAAACCAAGGGGAGGCAGAAAATGACTCCAATTGAGCAAGGGGAGGCAGAGCAGAGAGCTTTTGCCTCTGCTCTAGCCAGTGGGAAGGAGGCTACAGTGATTGAGTTCTACTCTCCCAAATGCAGGCTTTGCAATTCTTTGCTTAAATTTGTTTCTGAGGTAGAGACACGGAATTCTGATTGGCTCAATATTGTCATGGCTGATGCTGAGAATGAGAAATGGCTACCTGAGGTATCTTATTTTCCGTAGAGTATATTGATGAAAAATTTTGTTGCTTTGGTTCTCCAACCTCTGTCAGATGCATGAAGTTTGTTTTAAATGTTTTGATTCTCTGTCACCCAAGATGAAGTTGTCCTTGGCCTTAATCTTTCATTGCATATCTTCTTACAAATATCATCAATTCACCACTATAGTTGGTATTCATTTTAACTGAATCCCAATTCCTTTCCTTGCTTTCCATCAAGATTATTGCAACATCTTCACTTCATGCCTCTTGAAAACTAGTGATTCTAACTTTTCTGCTGCAAAACTCATGAGATGGTTTCCGGAGTCTTTCAAGCGAAGATCCAATCATATGCCCTAGTATATTACACTTCAATTTAAAGCTCAAGCCATTAGATTTTAGGCCTCTTGTCAGATAATTGTCCGTTTATTTATTGTGTCCTTTTAGACATGAAAGTCTTCAATTTTAGTGTCTTCATATGTAGAGCTTGACTGATAATGATGCTTGTAAAACACTATATGGTTTTTTATTGAATCCAGTAAATATTGTATATTATGAGATGCAGCTTACAAGGTCCTTTCCTTTTGTCCATGGAATAATCTGTTTGGTTTTGGAGTGCTAGGGAATTACGAAGTATGTTTTCCCATATTGAAAGAACATCTTTGAAGGGTTTTTGCAGAGTAAGCAGGCTAAACTTATTAGTGATATGGTTTTGTGGGGTTTTTTTTTTTTTTTTTTGGGGAGTGGCAATGGCGTACTTTGTGAATAATTGATTGTTATGGTTTTCATGCTAGTCATTTGCCCCTTGGAAGGAGAAGCTTGTTTAACATGGCTTCTTCATGCTGACTTGTATTGAAATTGTATTATTGCAGCTCCTTAATTACGATGTGAGGTATGTTCCATGCTTTGTGCTTCTTGACAAAAAAGGAAGGGCCCTTGCAAAAACAGGTGTTCCACACAGTCGTTTACATGTAATATCAGGTCTATCCCATCTTCTCAAAATGAAGCGTCCTCTTCAACAAAATCAAGGATCAAGGCAGATTGATGCATGATTATAAGACAGCACATACTATTATTTGTATCTGCTGTATTGTTACTTTGTTAATGCCCCGAATACCTTTTTTGAAACGATTCTCTGAGTGTCTGATAATATTAGAATAATGTATTTGGTTAGTTATACTAATTGTAAGTGTTTGATATTATTGTCAGTAGCTTAAATTATCTTGATCAAAACAACATCAAATAATGGAATCTTGATGTGAGTTTTCGCAGGTTTGGAGCATCCCAACATCACTTAAAAAAATGTTGTTATTATGTAAGTTGAGACAAAATTCTCTTACATATTTACTTTATATATATATACACACACCTTAAAATCACTTTTAAAATCATAATTTGTTTTCCATCTATACACTTATTTTGTAAAGATAGGAATGAGTTTCCCTTAATTTATGAGAAGTTTGATTTTATTATATGGAAATTTTGAGAAAACCATTTGAAATCTTTGTTATGAAACTATGTCTGAAACATTATATTACCTTTAGGTTTGGATATAAGATTTTATTTTAGAGTGGAAATTATATTACCAATTATTTTCTTTTAATGAAAAACAATTAAAATGCATAAATAATAAAAATAAAACAATACAAGAGTATAACTAGATACAAGTTAAAAAAAGGACAAGAGGTAAAAAATAAAATTAACCGAGGAAAAAGCAAAAAAGAAAGTAAATTAATAATATCTTTATGAATAACATCAGAAGAGTTCACAATAGCTCTTTTTGCAGGTAAGTATTTCTTGTTAATGCAAAATACTTGTAGTTTTTTTTGACTATCCGCTGAGAGTGAAGGTGACTTGCAAACTTGCAAATCCAGATAAGGTTAGCATGAAAACATGAAATGTTAAAGTGATGATTTTGTCAAGGAGTTTTTTTTCACAGGAAATGTTGAATAGGTTGGCCCTGATAGCAAATCCATGATTTGCAATTGTATGTTATATTTAGGATCGGAGAAATAGTATGTAGCTTTGGTCCAAACCAAAAACAGACATTATATGCAGCCTTTTATGCTGGTGAGGACACGGATGCCATTACTTGTGCTGTGTTAACATTTTTGGCTGTGGACATCCTAAATTATATTTCCAAGGAACAATGATTCAAATAATCTTAGTACTTACATATGGTCTGGCAGCTTTATAAATTATAACAGGACGCGCAGTTGAGTCAGTTGTGAGATCATTGGTGGCGGATAACCTATATCTTTTTATATTATTATTTTTTATGGAATAATCTATGTTTTATTTTATTTTACAATATAAAAGCAAAGCAAAGGTCTGACAGCTAGGTAACCTTATTCTAGATAAAACCAATGCCGAATTGCTTCGATACTGATGGAATCCATAATAGGATGACATGTTGAGAGACCACAAAAAAGTGCTAGGGCGCAGATCAAGTGCCAGAAGAGCTTCTGACTCAAGTCAATGACAGACGATCTGGTCAGAATAGGAAGACTGCCCACCTTTGCATGCCTTCATGTAGACAACCGGGTCTATAGGATTATTAGGTAAGTGGTGGCTCTAACATGACTTTTTGTGTCATTTTACGTCTGATGAGCATGTCGGACGTGCCAGCCAGCATAAATGTTGGCCTCCTTAAATACCTTAATATCGTCAAATGTGGGACATTGCATCATAATATCAACTTTTCCCAAATACTCATAATCTCGGTGCGAGGATAAAAATACACTTTCTTCATGAAATTGCATCTAGATAAACATTTTCATAAATGAAATGCCCCGGGATTGTCATAAGACTTTTGGAATTCACTTCCATCTAATTTCATGATCACCCAAATTTTAAAAATAAAAACTCATAGGCAGGGCAGTTGAAGTAGTAAGTTGTAACAGGATTGGACGTTGACAAATCTGTAGGTTCGAGTGTCAGTTGGGACTAGTGCTTGTGGATGTGTTATCTAAGACTCTTGTGGAAATTGGACAAAAGGATTCCCCAAACATTTGGGTTATCATTCGAGTACTTCAGCTGAGCTTTTGGACATGCTAGAAGGCCTCATCCTCTGCGGGGAAGGAAATCGCGTGCATGTTAATTTTTACATTTTCTCAGAAGGTCTAGAAATCCTCTCATGTGACCAATAATAATTAACAGGATTAGATCTAATGAAAGGAAATAGTTCTCGCAACATCACAAACTAAAATTTAAATCTCCACTATGAGAGGTATTAACATTTAATTAGGCAAAAGTTGCATGAACAAACCTGCAATTAAGAATACCCATGCTTAATTAAAAAAAAAAAGACAAAGGAAAAGGAAATCCTCTCATGCATGACTGGACTGTCTTCATTGACCACGTCCGTTGAGAAAAGCAAATTATTGAATTTATTGGCTCGCTTATCAAGTGGGTCGAGATCTGCGCGGTGTTAACGCGGCCCTATTGTTTCCAAAAATGAAAAAGTATGTGCCTTTAATGTTATATCGCAGATGTGTATTTGTTTCCTCCCAGTAGCAGAGCGTGAATGGTTTTACTATTCACGTGGCTTTCTAATGGTTGCTTGCTCTCAAATCTTTAGGGCTGCTCCATACTGTTACCAGCCGGGATGGGGAATAGGTAGCTTAGAAGGTGTGTGTGTGTAGAGGGAGAGAGAGATGAGAATTTGGAAATTAGCTGCTGATACTATATAACAATACTGGCCATAGATCAAATCAGATATAAAATAAATACCCCATTCACAATACATACCCTGGAGCTCCCTAACCAAAAGCATTGTGATAGATAGACTCTCGTGAAAATGAGAATGACAATGCCTTGTTATTCATCAAGCTACCGATGTTATAAAAAATAAGCCACTCAACTCTAGCAGACAGAGGCGGCTCCTCCGTGAGCAACTTTTATATATATACTAAGCTTGGCACATGCAATCAGGAATAGGGTATGTGTAAATGGACTGTTTTGGCTTTCTCAACCTGAGTTGACCCTGTCTGTTCCAGTGACCGGTGACCACTGCTTGCTGGAACTCCGACCAACTGATGCTTTTATTCAGGAAGAGTTGACCCATCAGTGCCATGTTTGGTCTAATGGTCTTTAAATTCAGATAAGTTCGATGTCCCACCTGTCAACATCACAACATTTATCATCATCAATGTATCGCATTCTGACTTCAACTTCTAAATTAACATAACATCATACCCTCTGCTAAATCATGGCAATAAAGTATATGCTACTTAAAATATGAGAACAGGAGAAACTTCTTATTCTTAATATAGTCTGAAATCCCGTAATGAACGGTGAAATCTGTTTCTACTCCTTATTTGGAAAGTTTTGAATTGAAATTTCTGTAATGTAATTTGAAAAGCATCCAGCACTACTCACCAATGCGTTGTGCATATTTCCTGGGGAAGCAGAAATGAAGATGTCACTGTGCATGCCAACATAGTAATCAACTGCTGCCAATAAAGAAGCCTTTCCCTTAATCTGTGAAAGTTCATCAGCCGAAGCAAGGCTCTTTTTGCTCTCCATCAGAGGAAACAATTGTCTCAAAGTTGAAATCCTTGCTTTCCCACCATAAACCTGGAAAATACAACTTCTGCAATTAACAACTGCGAAAACACAAGTGTCTCATATTAACATTATCAGGTCAATATTGTGCCAAACCAAAGCAAAATAATAGACCTTGTGAGACGCAAGATATAAACGAGTGCTGTTGTCAAACCCCAGAGCTGCTAGCAGTAATCCAATCTCTTCTGGTGTCAATGGACAACGGCCCTGACTCCTCAACTCTTCATCGGTGAACTGTGAATTAAGAACCCTTCCCTGCCAAATCACCTGTCGATACTTAGCAAGAGCCAGTTTTTCAGCTTTGCCTCCACCAAAGTCACAGGCTGAATGCGCTGCCATATCCTACAAGATGCCAAGAGTTTTATCAACGTGAGCCCAAATTGAGAAATAAGGCTCGTAAGAGTTCAGAGAAACTTTGATTCCACAAGTTAAAAAATGGATAGAATGTCAATCAGGATATTGCATTCAAATGGAAGGAAAAGTTATGATTTACCAAGTAGTAAAAATCACCTGATAGGAATGCTAGCCGATGCTTTTGTTTCATTAATTTGTTGCTTCATCATTAAGGAAAGATTGTCTAACACTTGTTTATGCATGCAAAATCAAACCACCCCTCTTGTTATTTGAAATATGTAAGTGAAAGACTGAAAGCAGGCATATTTACATAATTTTTTAGGCTGAAACTCTTGTTACGACTATTCATTTACTTCTTGCAATATTCACCTTTTTTAAGAAGTAAAATGCAACCCAACCACACGAGGAATGTTCGGTATGTTGCCCCACCAAAATAAAGGAAACAAGCAAGGGTAATATTTAAACCTCATGTTTGATATATGATATTCAGCAAATAGATTAAAGCAAAACCTTATCAAAGCGTAGGTGAAGCACAACAAATTTCCCTGCCCTTCTCTTATAGTATGCATCAGTGGCCATTTGGAGATGGTTGGTGCCCATTTCTCCAGCAGAGCCTTGAGGATAGCGAAGGCGGCTGATAACAGCATCTCCAAGTATTCTGATGTGAGGAACAAAACGTAATGCTTGGAAGTTAACTTTACAGCGAAGCCGTTGAATTTCCATAGGCAAGCTATCAAATGTCAGACGGTGAGAAAATGGTGCAATTGCAGCAATACCATGACTGCACCAAATAAAAGATTTCAGAATATCAAAAGATCAGTATTGTAGAATAATGATGAGCAGAAGACTTTGGGAAGTAGCAACCTGTAATTAGGCTAGGAACTAAGCCATGTATCACGCACATAATCATGGGGTTTACAAAGTATAATCAGACCCAAATAAGCTGCTTTTAACACATACCCTCCAAGCAGAGCATAGATGTTAATCATGTCCAACTACTTGCCCTCAATTTTGATGTTGCGCTACATCTCATACATATCACTTCTTATTTGTCGCAAATTTTAGGTTCTTAAAATGAATAATTAAAAAAGAAGAAGAAGAAGAAGAAGAAGTTCTGCAAGCAGCTCAATTGTATCAAAGAAAAGAGAGAGCCATGATTTGGAGATGAGTTTGGCTACATTAGAGAACATTGATGTGAGTTGTTTATATCTCAGCATCTGAGCCATAATTACTAAACTCTGAAAGCACATATCCTATCTTTAACTACTTATTTGAAGTCAAAACAAAGTGATGATAACTACTGAGCACTGAAGGCTTGCGCAATGTGTACTCGGAGAATAATCAAGTACAGATTTTCATAACAGATTTCCGCAAAGATTCTCAGATTGATTATTTTACAGTGCAAATGCCAAAATGGTTGTGACCATGTATAAACATTTTGTGCTTAACCATACACAACCCTGAAAACAGCTCATTGATTAGCAAATATAAAGTGACAGGTTCAGGTAACTACCAACCTCTGTAGAACAGGCAAAACATTTTCCAGATACCAGTTGGCAGGGGCGGGACCCAGAAACAACTCATTCATTGGCAAATATAAAGTGACAGGTTCAGGTAACTACCAACCTCCGTAGAACAGGCAAAACATTTTTCAGATACCAGTTGGCAGAAGCATGAACAGGTGCTTCCTTGATTCTGGTATCTCGGGTAGTGGCCGCGTAGTACTCTCTTGTGCTCCACAAGAATTCGTCGGGTAACTCTTTAACTATAGAAACATCATCCTTTAATACATTAATGAAGTGATCCGCATCAAATATATCCATGAAGGTGCTGTAGAGAAGACATCAGAATATACATCATGCACAATCCAACGGATAAATCTAAAGCAGTGGAGAAAATGTGGAAGGATGACTTCTGCAAGTACCTTGAATCTCGCCAAACAGGATTAACTTCAAGGTATGGAATAACAAGAGTTGCATTTAGAATCTTTGCAACAACAACTGCATCACATATCTTCAAAGATGCAAAAGTACAAATCAAACATTTTTATACATCCATAAATAACGACAATTTTGATCTTAGTAGTGTGCTTTAAATACCTACCCCCATCCTTTGCTGGTTCAACCCACCATCAAGAAATACCTGGATGTATCCCTCGGACTTCTCTGGCAATGCTGCTCAGATTTCAAGATAACATGAACCGGTCATTACTTAGTAACAAAGTGTTCTGAGCTTTCTTAAGGGGAAAAAATCATAAGACTGCCTATCAGTAATTTGACTTACATGGTTCACTTCCACATTCAACACAAGGTCTCCAACCTTGGTTTTCTAGAGGAGCCCACAGATCAGAAAGCTGGCGTGTTGACTACACAAGCAGAGAAAAGAATGTCAATATATAATATAATAATGTCTAAAGTGAAGGATTTAGCAGAGTCCAGCAAATCATTCGAAAATTTATTGGCGACTGAATCAACTCTTACAACTTCACGTTCTAAAGCACTCTTGAGTAGACGCATGTGCCTGGGTTTTACGGCCCTCTGTTCCTGCATAAAGGATGTTGCAAGTTTTAAGATACTGCCGTACTGGAGACAAAACGACCAATTTCACTTTCAGGCAAAATAATAGCTAATTTTCTGGAGAATATCACAGCACTGATATGAAGGTCATTCTAGTGATATAAAAATTCACCAGATAATAGAAATCTATTTGGTTAATCAAACTGTGATCCAAAATATTATCCAGCCATCCATTCTTAGATAAGTTTAATCAACCTTGTACGTCAACAGAATTAAATTAACGAATTTTAAAATATACTTAGGTTTCCTGCTTTCTTGCTAGTCATAATTTCACCATAACTGCAAATTCTAAACGTCAGAAACTTTCTTTCGCTCGTTTCTTATTCATTTTATTTCACTAAATAAATCTGAAACTACGAGTTCTCACATGAATGGTGATCAAACTTCATCTTTGTTATCAACATCCACAGACAGCAAGAAACAAAAGAAAACAAAATTTCAGAGTTCACAAGAAAACTACATACGGCCGGGCTTCAGTTACCTCCCCCCCCCAAAAAAAAGAAGAAGAAGAAGAAGCAGGGAAATACATTAAAACTGCAGAACAAGACAGACAGAAAAATTAAAGCTTCCGGGAGAGTTGGAAGAAATGCTTAATCTACATCAAAAAATAGAGATGGGAAAATATTTTTGGAGGAGTAAATCAAGCTAAGGAGACGACGAAACCGAAACGATCATCTATAACGTACCAGGTACATTGAAGGAGAGGCATGGCTCAACTGAGTGAATGAACTCGAAAAGAACACTATGAAGAAGAGCAAGGAAAAGCAAGATAATGCGCCATGTCCCTGAGGAAGCCAGTGATTATTCTGGTTCTTGAGCTCCATTGTTGCCAGCAGAGCTCGACCTCGGATCCGCAGAGTGACTGATGCTTTAATGCTACTCCAACAGTTACAAGGTAGTGAGTTGTGAATTAAAGGAGGGAAAGGATATTAAACAGCACATTATCGTGTAATAAATTAATAATGAATGATCCTACTTTCCATGTTTCGGGGACTGTGAAATGAATGTGTGGGAGAAAGAGCGGAAGGAAATTAAACAAGGCGACAAGCCAAGAAAGGAAGAGAAAGAGACGAGTAAAAGCAGCTCACATGGAGACCAGGCCACCCCACCGAATCGAGTAACGAAGGAAGCGTCTTTATCAAAGGGACCCGGATAGATGAAAAGTACAAGAATGGTATTTTTTTCACGTCAGAGAAACGCGGAGAAAGTAGCAAACTCACAGGCTTGAAGGTATGCCGTGTGCTAGAGCCAGTGGCAGTCAAGGGAAATAAGAAGCTCACGGGCCTTTCAATGAAGGCTTTTTTTGCTTTCAGCAGATCACCGACACTGTAGACTGACTCGGAGCACATGAGAGGAAAACTTGTGCAAAAATCAAACATATTACATATGGATAACAGTGTGTGCGTATTGAAAAAATTGCATTGAAGTCTCGCCCGAGATAGTTACATATAAAAATATTTTTAGATCATCAAATTAATATGAAATGTCAAGGGACCTCGTTATAAAAGATTTTACTTGATCAATTATTAAATTACTTTTTTTTTTTAAATATACATTGACAACAAAAAAAATAGTAGTTAACAATTTAAGGTATAGTTATTACTAACTATCATTATAAGTATTAACAAACTACGAATTATATCTTTGTTATGCGCTAAGAAAATATGTTGTTAATATATGTTATAATAATTGCTAATCGTTACACTTTAAACTGGTAATAGCTATCCTTTCAATTGTCAATACATATTTAAAAAAAAAAAAGATATGGTCAGTTTAGTAATTGAATAAGTAAAATTTTGTTGTAACGAGGTCTCTTGAGATTTTAGATTAATTTAATGATTTCAAAAAAAAAAATTTATATTTATTTCTATGAGAGCTCAATACTATTTTCCCATATATATTTTCCAGAGCACAGAGATATACACACGCTTCTTCTTTTTTTTTGGTTGCCAACCACACGTACACACATATATTCTTATTATCTTGCTATGGGTTGAAAAATGATAGATAATCTTGAAATCAAATCGAGTGGAGAGGAGAGGTTACTTAACAATATCAATAATAAGAATTTGTCATTTCACAAAAAAAAAAATTGTCATATGAACAAATAATATATATAAAAAATTATTTATATTAATTTCATTGAAAACAAACACTCATAGAAAAATCTTACCGCAACTTATGACTTGCTAAAACAATGAATGCTGTTTTTGGGAAAAAAAAATCAAATGCATAAAATTCAGAAGACTATTTACAGCATGTATTAAAGAATGAAACAAAACCTTTCGTAACACGTAAATGTTTGGATTTCTCCCAATGTACATGTGATGGCAGTTCGTTGGATCTGAATTCTTAATATTTAATAAAATTAAATAGTTAAATTATCCCATGTACGAGTAAATCACAAAAAATAAAAAATTACATCTTTTTATTTTGTATCATCCTTTTCTAGGGACACACACACACAGTGCATTTGAAATGATCACAATCCATTTATATTCCAAAATAAGTCAATAATTTTTTGTGGGTGATAATTTTGAAAATCATATAAAAATAAAATAATTTCCACTTATAATTGATAGCCGACAAATAAAAGAATCCCACTCATGCGCCCCCCTGCATTTTTTTGTTGGATTCTCCCTAATTGATCAAGGAAGAAAGCAAACCAACTGTGTTTGACATTTGTCTTGTGAGGGAATCACTTTGGAAGCCCTGACCTGTGGCTGGCATGACGTTACCATTATAATTTTATATTTTAATTAATACTTATCCGATTCTAAATATAAGACTCATTTTAATTAATACTCATCAATTAGAAAAGATGTTCAATTGTTCATATTTAATACCTGATAATAGCTTGAGCAATATTACTTCTAATAGAACTGGGTCTAGAGGGAAAAAGGGTAATTTTGTAAAATACTTAACCTTAATCATCTAAAATGTGCGCCATGTCCATGGCTCAATGGCAGGCCAACTGCTATCTTTGGATGAAATTTCATATATGAATTGAGTCTCAACATGTTTATATATGTGAGGATTTAAATTAGTTGTATTTAGAAAAAGGGATAAAATTTAGGTCAAAGTTTTTTTATCTTCATTAAATGAATTTTTTCAATTATAGTTGTTATTTTATAATTACTAGTTGTTAAAATGTGTATGTATATTTAGAAAATTAACCTATGAACATTTATTGAATTTTTGTATTAGCTAATATAATATAAATTGGGATTTGTAAATTTTGAAAGAGACAATTGTTATTTGTTAAAATGTGAATAAACACTTATTAATTCACCTATAAAATACGGATACTTGTTGTTATACTTAATTGCTAAAATATGTACATGCACTTGTAAATTTAACTATAAGTTTGATCTAATGAATATAAGCAATTTTACTTAAAAGAAATTTAATATTCCCATAAAAAATTGGCCAAAACAAAAATATATAAGTGAAATTTAATATTCCCATAAAAAATTGGCCAAAACAAAAATATATAAGTGAAATTTAATATTCCCATAAAAAATTGGCCAAAACAAAAATATATAAGTGAAATTTAATATTTCCATAAAAAATTGGTCAAAACAAAAATATATAAATGAATTTAATATTCCCATAAAAAAACTGGTCAAAACAAAAATATAAAAATGAAAGAAAAGACCGGATACCAATCTCGAACGCACTAAAGATTGATTACAAAACAGAATAGGTGGGATAAACACCGCATGAAGCGCTTCCCTAGTAGGATTTTTCTTTCTTTTTTTTTTGGGCCACAAGCATTTCTGAAGAAGCTAGCAAATTTTAAATTTTTAAAAAGACGGATACTTAGAAATTAAAAATAACAGGCAGAAATAAACGAATGGAGTAGTGAATGATCTCGTGGGGGGAAAATAGTTTCTCTCCAAAAATAGAATTTAATGAACAAATAAATTTAATGAATAATATTACTTTCTCCAGTTCTGAATTTATGAGTTCGTAAGAAAGTTTATTTTAATTCTAAATATAAAATATTAATTAATTTTGTCTCTTAAATTTATAATTTTTTTTCAAACTATGGATACATTAAGAGGATTTTCATCTACAAGTAGTTCCAATTGCCGACACAAATAATTAAAGAATGTATTTTAATAAAACCAACATACATTTTTAACAAATAATTATTTTTTTAATTTTTGCAATTTTATTATTTAGATAAGAGAGATTGGAACATAATACTCCTCCAATCTTATATTTACGACCGGAGAAAGCGGTTAATTTGTGTGATAGTAAATGATTAAAACGTAAATCATTTGTTTGCTGGCAAAAGAAAAAAACATATGTCACTTGTGCAATAAACTCTCAAATCAAGAAATATATTAAATTAATAATTTTTTTCACCTTTTACTCTTATTAAAGAAAAAATAGTAAAAAAAATGTTTTACATTTTCTCTCACTTATTTAATTCAATAAGAATAAAATTGAAAAGTACTTATTAATTATTTTATAAATGACTTATATTTAAAAACAAACTTTTTTCCCCTGCAAATGACTCATTAATAATAACAAGAAAAGGTGAAAAGTGGGGTTCTCTGGTAGGTTGTGAGTGAAAGATGCTTTAAAAAGCATCACTTTGGTGTATGTAACGTTGCAACTTTAACGAAGAGCAGGGAAAGAAGTGCGTACAGCTAGTAATTACTAAGATGTCGTCCCTAAAACAGAAACCGCTAATTAGGAGACAGCAGGTTGAAGGCAGGCATGGATGATCATGATGGATCCATCAGCTGCTTGGAGAATGCAGCAAATAGCGCCATTTGATTGTTCTTCATTTAACTTCAACTACCAACTACCCCAATCATTTCCATTTCATTTATGCTTCCTTCCTTTTCTTTTGAGCCCATCAATCTAAAAAGCCTAAGGGATTTTTTTTCGCAATGTTTGCTCTCCTAAAATTATCTTTATTTTAGTTTTAGTCTTTTAAATTTTAAACTATAAGTTTTGATCTCTCAAAAGATAAATTTTTATTAAATTATAATAACTAGTATTTTAAATAAAAAATTTCGAGCGACCAAAAACCATGACAGTCTTGTTCGAAACACACAATAAATATGTATGCAGTTTAAATTTAACTAGTTATATTACGAGAGGCTAGTCATTTCAATTTTAGAAAATAAATAATTGAAATGCAAACTAGTACTATATGATGAATTTGGATCGCTTAAATTAAATTTATACGGTCTAGATTTGCTGCTAAATCAACAGCAAAGAACATAGTGGTTATAAAATTAGGGATACAAATGATTTTTTTTATTTAAAAAAGGGTTAAGGTGCACCCAGCACCCCCAAGTATTTTGTCAGGTGCACCCAGTGGCCTAAAGTAATTTATGGTGTAATTTTTCCCTCAAAGTAATTAAAATGGTGCACCGATATCCCATGCCAACAGATCTTTTAGTTTGACCGTTAAATTGATGAGTCAGCACAAGTTTGACCAGAAAATCTGACGTGGCATGTCTAATAAGCAGGTGATGTGTAATTTTTTCGGGGTTAAGGTGCATCCAGCACCCCCCAAGTATTTTTTCAGGTGCACCCAGTGGCCTAAAGTAATTTATGGTGCAATTTTGCCCTCAAAGTAATTAAAATGGTGCACCGGTATCCGATGCTAACAGATCTCTTACTTTGACTGTGAAATTGATGAGTCAGCACAAGTTTGACCAAAATAATCTGACCTGGCATGTCTAATAAGCAAGTGATGTGGAATTTTTTTCGTCTGCCACTGCTTTGTTTTCTCTGTTCAGTAAATGCTCTCTTCGGCTCTTGGAATTTTTTTTAGAGTAAGAAATTTTTTCAGAGATACTCCCCTAGTCCTATTTATAGGGTAGAGAGAAAAGATATTTTTTGGTCCTATTTATAAGGCATTGAGAGAAATTTTTTGTATGGATGTACAAATTTACCCTTCATTTATTATTGTATTGACTTTGTTTATATGAGGTATAATGTATATTAAATAGGGATAAAGTTGGAAAGTTATTAAAATTTAAATGAGAGTTAATGAAATTTAGGGTTTTCCTTGGTCTATGTGAAACATGCTGGAAGTGCCTTATAAATAAGACCAGAGGAGTAATATTCAAACAAAACAATGGAATTAACAAGAAAAGTCATGTCACCTGCTTATTAGACA